AGACAGCACACTGGGGGTTAAGTTAGGACTCCATTCTCTCCTCTTACTGCTCCAGGTCATTTGACTAGAGGAAACTTTGACTTCCTGTTAGCCAAACCACTTCCCCTCCCTCCCTCTCTGCACACCATCACCCAGCCTACTCCCTCTAGGAAGGACGTCTTGTCTGTGTAACATTCCACCTCCCTAACACAACCACTAGCCTTTGGTGCCTCAGTAGTTCCTGGGTCCCAAACCAAGGCAGAACTGAAACTTGAAGGCATGCAGCTGCCAATCAAGGCCGTTCTCCCCACCAACTGGGGCACCCAAATAAGTGGGTAGGTTGAAAACCTCCTTGCAGAGTATGCATGCATCTTGTACTCCTGTGGTTTTCAAACTGCTCCCCAGAACAGTAATTCCTCACGTTGATAATAAAAGTTTCTAAGGAGAGAAAAAGGTTCTGTGGTCAAATAAATTTTAGAATAAATTTTAAAAGTTGCATATTCTCTCTCTCTTCTGGAAATACACAGTGCATAGTTGGATAGTAAGGGCTCTAGAGTAGAGAAAACTGTTTAGCAATATTTACCCTGAGTTTCCCACACCTATTTTGAACAAAAGACAAATGAACAAACTCTTCTCCACCAACCCTGAAAAACACAGTGGAAATCCTCCTCCTATCTAACACAATCAAGACTAAGAGTTAGTTGGTTCGACAAATATTACACTAGGCACTTTCTAAGGGATTCAAAATATGATTCTGTTCTCATGAAGCTTACATTCTCGGGAGGAAAAAAAAAAAAAAAAAAAAGTTAAAGCAGAAAAGCAGAGAATGCTTTACAAATAACATATACTATCTAAAACATTTAACTTAAAAATACATAAATGTAAAAATATTTGCCGGTCATCTAACACAGAGCAGAGGGCTTCGCTTTGTATGTACCCACTGGTTGGAGGCCTGCACCATCTTTCTTCTATAAATCATAATATATAGGGCATGGCCTATAGTTTCTAGTTTTTTTTTATTTCAGAGAGGAAAAACTTAAAAGCATGAAAATCTAAACACATCATTTTGTACAATTTCACAATTTTACCTAATCTTTCCAGTCATCTGTCTTATAACCAATTTGATAACTTTCCCTTTTTCTATACAACTAGCCTTTTATTGAGGTTTTCCAAATCTTTCAACATACTGAGGTTTTTTTTAAACTTTCTTTTCATTTTCTTTTTTTTGAGATGGAGTTTTACTCCTGTTGCCCAGGCTAGAGTGCAATGCTGTGACCTTGGCTCACTGCAACCTCCACCTCCCAGGTTCAAGTGATTCTCCTGCCTCATCCTCTGAAGTAGCTGGGATTACAGGTGCCCACCACCACACCTGGCTAATTTTTGTATTTTTAGTAGAGACGGGGTTTCACCATGTTGGCCAAAGTACTGGGATTACAAACGTGAGCCACCCTGCCTGGCTGTTTTATTTTCTGTCTTAAAATGGATTTAATTTTTTTAGAGCAATTTTAGATTCATAGCAAAATTGTACCAAGAGTGCAATAAGCTCCCAGTCCTCACACACATCCTTCACCATCAATGTCCTGCCCCAGAGAGTGCATTTGTTACCATCAATTAACCTACATTGGCATGTCGTTATCATCCAAAGCCTATAGTTTGCACTATGGTTTGCTCTTAGTGACTTATATCCTGTGGGCTTGGACAACGTCTGTGACATGGATACACTACTACAGAATAGTTTCACTGCCCCAAAATCCTCCGTACCCTGCCTCTTCCTTCCTACCCTCCTAAATGGTGTCAGGCACTGATCATTTTACTCACTCCATAGTTCTGCCTTTTCCAGATGTCATATTTGGAATCATTCAATATGTTGCCTTTTCACATTGGCTTCTTTCACTTAGTAATATGCATTTAAGCTTCTTCCATGTCTTTTCATGGCTTGACAGCTCATTTATTTTTAATGCTTAATAATGTTTCACTGACTAGATGTGCTACAGATGTTCAATTTCAATTTAGTTTTTCTAGACTCGGCAGATCTTTCTTTTTGTATTGCTATTGCACTGGTTTACGTAGTTTTTAATTAAATTAGCTCAATACAATGACAATTAAAACTGGCACAAACAGCTTTGGAGCAAACAATGATCAGTGATGTAAGGTAAAACACATGCCACCCAAAGACTGTGATTAGTGAGCACTTTGCTGGCTCGTGTTACCAGGAGAATGGAAAGTGTCAGGTAAGCCAGAAGCCTGTTAAGTGAAGAAGGGCTGGGAGAACTATTGCTTTAATATCTCGAGGAATCTGTGTTCCATGGCACTGCTGGGGAAATGCTGGCTGACACATCCTCTTGTAAGAACTGTTTGGATTACGCTCTCTTGAAGCAAAACATTGTTGATATCTCACCTTTAATATACGTATACTTACATTTTGATTATATTTATTATGCTATATTATTATTTTAATTTAATTTGTATGTTTTATAACTACCCACAATACTACCAATAGTGAATATCACAGAGCATGATGTACTTAGGGTAGGATTCATCAACAGTGAGAATGGATCTCAGTCCACATTCCCAGAAGTTTCCTTGACCCTTTATAATTTTTTTTTTTTTTTTGTCTGCCAGGAAGGTGGTTTATTCCTATAATCTCAGCACTTTGGGAGGCAGAGGTGGGAAGATCACTTGAAGAGTTCAAGACCAGCCTGGGCGACATAGCAAGAGGATGTCTCTACAAAAATTTTTCAAAAATTAGTTGGGCATGGTGGTGTGCACTGGTGATTCTAGCTACTTGGACGGCTAAGGTGGGAGGATCGTTTGAGCCCAGGAGTTCGAGGCTGCAATGAGCTATGGTGGCACCACTGAACTCCAGCATGGGTGGCAAAGTGAGATCCTTTCTCAAAAAAAAAAAAAAAAAAAAGAAGGAGAAAACTTTATTGTCTACCTTCTTGTCAGATGTGATTAGATTATCTTTTCTGACCTCATAGTGTGGCTGAAGATAAGCATGCACTAGGATTAGAAGTGTCACCTCTACTATTTTCTCATTACTTGTGGACTGCCTGCCCATGGTCACTTCAGGATACCTCAATGTAGAGTGTGGCATGTGACTCCTTACATATGGCTCTAATCTATTTAGAAGTTCTCATATTTTCTTCCCACACCCCTGGGATATATACATACCACTTTGGAGACTATTGGCCTTATAACTGCTCAG